CTAAACCCTAAACCCAAAGAAAACAGTGTAAGCTGCAAACCCAGAGGCGCCAATCATAGCTCCACCGAAGCACACTGCCTCGGCCTTGCCTGCCGAAGGACCAACGATCGTCTCGATGCCAGCCTTAGCGCAGCAAGCCGGTTGGCTTTCGCTGATTGGGGTGCAGGACTGTCGGGCATGAAGTTTAGATTTCAGGGCTCGGCAGTATTGTGGGGGGGGGGGGGGGGCAATACCCTAGACCTTTCTAAGAATTGTTACGTTCTAATCCAATAACAGATATCGAACATGATATGTGTGTTTCCCTGCACAAGGTACATTGGGATCGGACCCTATAAGCTCCAGTGGCACCATGTACGGATCTTTCTTGATATTCATTCCTATCTCATGCAAGGCATTGCCGGGGGTTCGGACAAGTCCAGCCGAAAAGTCGATGTTGTCGGCTTGTTAGGTTTTCTGAAGTACAAAGTGGCCTGCATCCTAAGAATGGTGCCCCTGCTCGTTATAAGCAGGATGAACGTAATGGTTTAACGGAGTTCAAGAATTCGGAAATGTTCTGCTTTTGGCTACAGCTAAGTTTGAGGTGTATTCAGATTGCTGGGACATAGGATGTTGCAAGGGCCGCCTTGCAGGCTCTGTTGTGCGGCTTGTTTATTTGCTTCTTGCGATTTCGGTAACCTAAACTTGCAAGCTTCGTAATCAAAAGCTTCAATACCTCCCTAAGCCTTACGCCTTAAGCCCCAGGCCCAACCCTAAGCCCCAAGACTTCATTTTAACCCTAAACCCTAAGCCCCAAGCCTTCATTTTTAAAGTCCCGAATCACGGCATAGCCTGCAGTGTGTACTCCAACGATGTCGCGCAGGTGGTGGTTGCTGCATTCTCCTCTGCCTGCGGCTGCTGGACAGTTTCAGTGTCTTCGGGTTTAGGGCTAAAGTAGAGGGAAGGACCCTAAACCCTAAACCCNNCCTTAAACCCTAAACCCTATAAGGTTTCAGCAACCGGGTTTCAGGGCTCGGGGTTTAGATTTTGGGACCAGGTTTTGGGGGCGAGATCGCTCCAGGAGCCTTTGCGAGGTACTTTTAAGTTACCCATACTGCGGTAGGCCCCATAGTAGTTCCTTTTTGCGGTTCATATATAGAATCCTATAAGGTAAGCCCAAAAAGGAACTACTATGGGGCCTATGGGTAACTGTAAAGGAGCGCTAAGGAGTGACCCCAACCCCGCAGTATAAACAGGCTGCCAAACCGTATGCTAAGGCCGGCTGCGCGGTGTTTGGTGTGTAATTACATGCCTTGGGTTCGGGATTCATGATATCCAGGTCTTCGTAGAAGATGATATTTCTCTTGCGGCATCGAGTTTCGTTGAACTGACGCTTTGACTGCTTCAGCATTGCAAGCTCCTATCGGCAGCTGCGGTTTAGGGCGTAGACTTTAGAGTGTATATAGCTATATAGGGTTGTCTTCTGCGGGTCTTACATGAGAAAGCAGAAGGAAACGGGAGCGTGGAACATGTGGGCCAGAAGCTGCAGCATGGACATTTCCCTGCCAGGGAGCATTACCTGTGTACCTCCAATGTTAGACAGGGTCTTGTTCAGGCTTCAGAGCTTTTGCGGCAACTTCCCATGTAGTTATCGCTTTCGCATACTCGTACAGATCATGTCGGCACAGAGCTGCACTGTTAATTGACCTTCTGCAAAGTACGTACCAACAGACTGACGCTCAAGCACACGCAGGTAATCCTAAAATCAACGTCCCCTTCGGGGTCGCTATAAGATTTGGCCATCGTAGCATCTTTCGTTCCAATGAGTAGACTTCAACTTGTAACACTGATCCTCGCACGATGGAGAGTTGCTGAGGCTACATGCTCATCGAAGCCATGCGGTGCATGCCAGGCGGGCCTTATAACCTACCCTCAAACAAGGCCCCTACACTAGCTAGAAGCCATATCAGCCCGGACCTTAAACCGAACTAATCCCCAATAATCCCTAACCTAAATCCGAACCCTAAACCCTAAACCCTAAATACACCCTAAACCCTAAATCCTAAACCCTAAACCCTAAGCCTGAACCCTCAATTGTGAAGTCTGAGGGGCTGCTTCGGGAGGTTCGGGCTCCCCAAAAGCGAGTGGCCCCAACCCCAATCCAGCCAGGGTTTCGGGCTTAAGGCTTGCGGTTGAGGGCTGAGGGTTTCGGTAGGGTTTAGGATTTACAGGGTTTCGGTAGAGGGTTTTGGTTTTATAGGGGTTTTAAGGGTTTTTTGGATAGTTGATAGGGCTTAAGTTTGAGAATCTTTGTCGTGAACCCAGAAGCCCCTTTAAAACCCTAAGCCCTAAACTCCTAAACCCTAAACCCTAAACCCCTAAACCCTAAACCCCTAAACCCTAAAAGCTCCCCCTCGAGATCTGTAAACTAGAACCTTGGAGCCGTACGCAAGAAAGGCGTCGGAATAATTACCGGTAGCATGCCCTTCTAGTCCCTATGTGTTTTTGTGGTTATTATTACAATGGCTACCATAACTTGTTGTTTTTTAGTATTCTAGTATTTGTAACAGACCCCCAGGCCCTAGTCTGATCGTTACTAATACAGCCTTTGATGCCGGCTTTGGATCGCAACTTGGCTTGAGTCTCGCATTGCCAAATCAGGGCAATCAAGTCACCCAGAACCTGGAAAGCCCTAGGTACAGGGTTTGGGTTTGGGGTTTCAGTGTTGAGGGATACGACGTGATGAGTCGAATTCAACTCGAGGTATCTGGTTCCATTTCGAAGGACAGAACTTTAAACTTCTGGATGAGACATAGTCGGTCCAGCAACCCTAAACCCTGAACCCTGAGCCCTAATCTACAACCCCACAGCCCGACTTCGGGTACAGATCATCCTCTTCGAACTCCGATCCCCCCTTGCCTGCTTAGTACGAGTAGGAGTCCTTGAGGTTCCTTTAGCCCAAAAAAGACGTACAGTGCTACACCTCGAAACAAAGGCCCCATCGCGCTCTAGACTTCTACCCTTAGACACAACACACTTATGGCTTAAGGTCTAGGGTTTAGGGTTTAAGGTTTACGTTAGGGTGAACCTGGACGCCGAAAGGACCGGCCTCTTTAGGGTTCCTTATAATGGTTTCTGTATATAAACCCGAGATCCCGAGACCCTACGCGCTCTGGGTGCTAAGTCCTACACCTCAGCCCCCAACGGGCCGAAGCCTCAGAAATTACCACCTCTCCCTTCTCGTCGCCCGGAGGTAACCACGGCTTCGAACAGACAATCGAGTTTACAAATCTGGCTTCTTTCTACCTCCCCTACGAGATGCGACTCGGGATCTTCCTCTTATGAGGTCTGGGGGTTTAGGGTTTAGGGCATTCAAGGGGAAGTGGGGCCAAGGGCCTATAAAGTTTATAGTATAAACCCTAAATTCCTAAACCCTAAACCCTAAACCCTAAACCCCTAAACCCTAACCCCCTAAACCCCTAAACCCTAAACCCTAAACGCTAAACCCTAAACCCTAAACTTAAATTTAGGACAACATCCACATCACACGCTTCCGGATGATCAGTCTGCTTGGTGGGTGCAAGTCGGGGGAGCCGCCAACAGGAGCGGCCGACCCCCGAAAATCCCAAACCCTGCATGTAGTGTTTAGGGTATACCAGGACCCCCCAATGGCCCTTTAATAGAGCCCTTATGGTCCTTGATAGTGGGTAGTTGGGAGATATAAGAGGGTAGTTGGGGGGTCTAGGTATAAGGCTTACAGTTTAGGATTACGGGTTTGGGGAGGAAGGTCATCAGCTTTAGGCTTAAAGTTTAGGAATACGGGTTTAGGATGTAGATTACAAGTTCTAGGTTTAAGGTTTAGGGTTACGGGTTTAGGATGTAGGTTATGAGATCTAGGTATTATGGTTTAGACTATGGGGTCGGGGTTTAGGGTTTCTGCCTAGGTGGAGTGGCTTGTTTGGGCACGACTTGGCAGTTTACTGTGCCGTGGGCGCAGCAGCTTATCCAGACCCCCGGAAGGATCTAGAAAGTAGATCCCCTAATTCGGGACCCTAACTACTAAAGGGTACTTTAAGGGGGTTCCTACTTTTTGATCCTCCCGGGGGTCTGGGTAGGTTTAGCGATTTCAGGGCTCCCGTCCAGATCTTTACAGAGGCTTACAGGATTGCAGGCTTATAAATATACTAATAGTAATAAAAATAATAATAGCAATAATAGTAATAATAACAATAATAATCTTATAAGGCGGTTTAGAGTTTAATTAGGCTTTGCATCCGAGGGTTTGATCCGAATTGGGGTTGCCTGCAGGTTTACGGTTTGCCTGCACACCTCATTGCTCTCTGTTCACTTGGCCCAGGTATGTGGCGACCATGGTGTGTTGCTCAACAGCGCTTGGTGTCTGGACACCTCTTCTGCGTACAGAATGCAAAACCCCGAAACCCCTAAACCATGTATCACCTGTTTAACACAAGCTCAGCCCACAATACGGAGGTCGAGAAAGTGGAGCTTGCCCCCTCTAGTTCCTATATAACATACCCCATACCCCAAAGCCCTATTATAGTTTGGCCCCGATCTTGTCCACGTTCTGGATATTCAACCCCCCTAAACCTTAAACGCCCACTATCCATTGGGCCTTACCGTAAGCCCTAGTAACCTAATCGTTTAAAAGCTTATGTAAAGGAAATCATAATGAGGAACCCGAAAAAGGTAGGTTCTTTGGAGTCCGGATATAAGTGTAGGCTTCAATACAGGTTCAGGGACCCCAATGAGGGTATGTGAGTGCCAACATATCCGAGTTCACTTCAGAGCTCCAGGTCAGACCTTCGGGTTCAGATGTCGCGGGTTTCCGGTTAGGGTTTAGCGTTTAGGGTTTAGGGTTCAGGGTTCAGGGTTTCGGGTGGTGGGGGCTGCTTAGGAGCACGGTGTGTTCTAAAAGAGCTTCAGGTATTCAGGGTGTCACACCCCCTGGAATGCCTGGACCCTGGAACCCACAGGCTTAGGTAGTATTATTAGGGGTACCCCTTAAAGGGTACTCCTTCTGAACCCTACTTTGGGCTCTCTTAAAAGCGACCTTATTGAGAGGGTCTATATCATCAAGGGTCCCCCTTATCCTAGCTCCCAAGGCTACCATGTGAACTCCATTCTCAACCTGATGTCCCTGATCATCCAGTCCGGGCAGGTGATGGACTACATCATGCTGCACCCTGGACTTGATTGGCTTCCCCTTAAGGGTCCAAAGGACCCAATAATTAGGTACTCGGTTTTAGGATAGTAGTTATGTAGGTTAGGATTTCGGAGAGTGTATGATTATTAGGCACTTGGACCCTTGGGGTTCTGGTTCAAGCCTCCTTTGGGTTTAGGGTTTAGGGCTTTGGGTTTAGGGATTAGGGTTTAAGGTTTATTCCAGCTTCCCAGGAAGTGGATTACCTGTTAATCGTCAGTTCTCGTTTATTGATTGGCTCTTGAATCCACATCATAGGGTACCCTGGCCGTCCTTACACTTTGGCCTGTTGTCTGCCAGCACTTGTCTCAAACACTGCACCTCAAGACCGAAACACTAAACTACGAACCCAAAGACTGCAATCAATAAACGACCACGCCTAAGTGTCTAAACACGAAGCCTCATGAGCTCTGGTGAATAGGGTTTAGGGTTTAGGGTTTAGGGTTTAGAATAGTCTATACAGGGCCTGCTGTGTCCCCTTAAAGGAAGTAGTGGAGGCTCGGCTCAGGCAAATGATGACATACTACAGCCGCTGAAATACTGATGACTTGTAGCATGGTAATCCACTTCCTGGGAAGCTGGAATAAATCTTAAACCCTAGACCCTAAACCCTAAACCCTAAAGCCTGAACCCTAAACCCTCAACCCAAAGGAGGCTTGAACCAGAACGTCGGTTTCAATGGACACTGGTAGGCATAGCTGGAACGACGAGGCCTCAACGTAGAATCAGCGGTCGTCTTATGTAGTCAGGATCCAGTGTAGCCAGACATCGGAGAACTAGGGTTTAGGGCTTAGGGTTTAGCGTCCCTCGGGGGGTCCAAGTATACGAACTAGTACTTACTATAACGTCTAAAGTCTATAAACAGTACCTACTTTGGGCTTTTTGGAGTCCCGTGGATTGGAGAACTAGTGATCAGCCAATCCGTAGCCTCCCAAAGTAAGTTGCCAAGTTGCCTTCACGAAGGCGAAGAACATTCCATGCCAACGGTAACTAGTTACTAAACAACAAACTAACCCGAGACCCTTAACCCTTCCTTGCACAATCGGTTTTATCGGAGTAGCAAGACGCAAGAGGAATAGTCACAGTAGATACTGACAGTACCCACAGCCCAGTAACCACGAATTGGTTTCTGTGCTTCCCACAACCCAAACCCCGCAGGTTCACCCCAATAAGCGAAAGGCCTACAACAACTCCCTAAACCCTAAACCCGAAGCCCGAACTCAAGAACGCTCGTGTCCAAAGGTGTGCAACTTCGAATGTTCTAGGGAGAGGCCCAAGGATTCAAAGGCGGGTTTAGGGTTTAGGGTGTAGGGTTTAGGGTGTAGGGTTGAGGGGTTTAGGGGTTAGGGCGTCGTCATGGACTGCACTCTGCCTCGGCCAAAAAAGCTCTGAAGCGAAACAGCAGTTAGCATCTTTGGTCTCGTTTAGGGTTTAGGGAACAAGACGCCCATAAATGAAGCAGGAACGTGTATGGCTAAACCCTAAACCCTTAACCCTAAACCCCTAAACCCCTAAACCCTAATTATAAACCCTAAAGGAACGTGTATGGCTGTGCTCCTGGAATTCAGCTTGGACTTGGAGTCAAGCAGCTTGGCCCCGTATCGAGGTTTAGCCTTGAGGGCTTAAAAACAAAGAGAGATTATTAGATTAAGCGGTTTGCATTTAGGTCTTCTAAACCCCTAAACCCTAAACCCCTAAACCCTATAAACCCTAAACCCCTAAACCCTATAAACCCTAAACCCCTAAACCCTATAAGCCCTAAACCCCTAAAACCTATA